CTAAGGAATTGGATGTGAAAATGTTCACTTGTAGGTTACTAGTTTTAATCTAATGACCCAAGATTAGTATTTCCCCTCATATTTTCCTTTGATTTAGATGATGTATTAATAATATTTAGTCACCATAAAGAGCTGTTATCTTTGCCACTATCCAACCTCTCCCCCCCCTCCAATTCTAAGTATGCCTCCTGCTCTCATGTTCTTGTTTGAAGATAGACTCATTGGTACAGCTACACCAGTGGTTACCAATACCAGTAGATCTTGGGGCCTCTGACAGGTGATCCTGACTGGTTTGGCCAGGAAGCTAGCAAGCGCTGGTACTTCAGTTGACCCTTCACCCACTGTCATGCTGCTCCTGCCCTCTGCCTTAGAGCTGTCCTCCTGGGAACCTGCTGTGCAGGCTGTGGGAGGAAAAAGAGGGGGGTGGTGATGTCAGCGTTTCCCTCCTCCCCCCAGTTCTGTACCCTATCTCCACACAGAGAGAAGGGGGACGAAGGGAGCCTAACCTGCCATGACTGGAGCAAATTTCTCTGTGGTAATTGCTGCTCCTGGAAGTGGCTGGCATGTCCCTGCAGCTCCTGAGAAAGGCGGAGCGGGGCAGGGGAGGGGGGAAGGTGTCTCCACATGGTGTCCTTACCTGCAGAGACCACTCCTGCAGTTCCCATTGATCAATAACGAGGAACCGTGGCCAGTAGAAGCTATGGGCTCAGTTCCTGTAGATGAGAGGCAGTACATAGAGCCATTGCTGTACATGCCAGATGATTTCAGGAGTGGTGCAGGGCCAGGGCAGAAGCAAGCCTGCCTTAACTCCACCATCCAGAAGCCATCTCAGTTAAGTGGTGCCTTGCCAGAGCCTGCTTCCTGAAACCTGGCCTAGCTCTGAACCTGCTCCTGAGCAGAACCTCCTGTCCCAGACATGAGCCCCCCTGCATCCAAAAACTCATTCCCAGAGCTTGCACCTTGAATCCCCTCCTGGACTAGCTCTGAACCTGCTCCTGAGCAGAACCTCCTGTCCCAGACATGAGCCCCCCTGCATCCAAAAACTCATTCCCAGAGCTTGCACCTTGAATCCCCTCCTGGATCCTAATCCCCTGCCCTGGGCTAAGCCCACAGCCCCTCCCACACTCTGAACCCTTTGGCCCAAGATCAGAGCCTGCATCCCAACCCCCTACTCCAGCCAGGTGAAAGTGAATGAGGTTCAGGGAGGAAGGAGGATGGAGTGAGCAGGGTGAGGCCTTGGAGAAGAGGTGGAGCAGGAGCAGGGATTCAGAAGGGGTAGGAAGGAAGTGGGGCAAGGGTATTTAAGATCTACTTCAAACCCACATTGGACTTAAATTGAAAAAGTGATCTTGTGGTTTAAAAGGTTAGAGACTACTGTGCTACACTGTGTTTTAAACACCCACTGCAATGAATCTCAGATATAGAGGCTGGAATTATGGGTGCAGGGGATACAGTACTACCAGGGTTGCCAGATAGCTGAAAGAAAAATACTGAACACCGCCCCCCCCAAAAAAAACACTGGGAAAAAATTTTGTTGCAGGAAAAAAAGAAAGGCTCCAAGAACCTGGATCACTGCTACGGGTTACCAGGTAGTCATTTAAAAAAAAACAAATGGACATGCCGCCTCATGGTGGGGGGAGGACCGTCCAGGAAGGGGGGGGGTCTGGAAACAGCTAATGAGGGGGGAGCAATG